GCTTCACCTCCCACACCAGAGAGACCCAGTTTGCATTTCCCCAGCACGGCAAACGCGAGGACACAATGGCATCGGGTGTGCGTGCACGTCTGTGTGTGTGTCTACGTGCATGTTGTACATGCGTGTGCACTTCGCTGCCTGTTCTTCCTGGGAAAGAGGCACGGCCTCGCTGGGCTCAGCGGGAAGGGAGGCGACGCCCGCAGGTGGCCCGGGACTCCTGCAACGCGCACGTGGTGAGCCAGGAGACCCCTGCGCGCCCATGCTGGTGCCCCTGGGACGGTGCCGCCTGCTCCTCCAGAGCTGCTCTCAGGGCACGCGGGGCCCTCGAGTGGACGCCTCACGTCCCTTCTCACCGGGGAAGAGAATCCCTATTAGAGCCAAACGGTTGTTCCCATTTACCTGGAGATTTTCCAGTGTTTTGAAGGATTGTGTCCAGAACCGATTGTTTCACATGTTGATCATTGTCTGAGTTCTTCTTTCCTGGAGGAAAAATAAGTATAACGATCAAGGTTTGGTGAAGAGTTCAGGCAGGATTCCAAACGTCTTTTCAGCTTTGGACAACCACGAGCTCTGAGAAAGCAGCATTTCGCAGAGCACATGACGTGACATGGCCTCGGGTGAGGCTGTCGAAACATCCCTCCTTGCAGGAGCCCAGAGCCGCGAGTGCGTGCTCGGCACTCAGGCACGGGGTGGAGGCCACGTCTTCTTGCTTCCCGTGCGCCTCTCCTCGCTCTGAGCACACGCTAGCGTCATCTGTGTCGTCTACTGTGCGTGCTGGCACTGCTTCCTTCTATGGACGATGCTCCTGACCGCTTGGCTGCTGTCCTTGGTCCTGGACACACATTTTGTAAGATGCTTCACTCCTCCAAAGGGCGATTCTCCACCCTCCCTCCTGTCCACCCCTTTGCACGCATAATTGCATGGGACTCGCTGGTCCCACTGCCAAAAAAGGGGAGCAGCGTGAGGGGTGGGGGCCACTTCAGGCAGCTTTTGCCCACGAGGGTCCCTGTTGTCGGGGGACGAGCTCCCCTGCAGGAAGCTGCCCTTCCCACCTGCCCTACTCATAAAGCTCACCAAGAAGACCTGCCTCCGTTCGGTTTTCCCAAAACTCCATATAAGTACAGCCTGGAACACTTAAGAAAGACCTTCAGGTTTAGACGTTTATATTTGTTGAACCCATGAGAAATAACTAGTCGTTGGCCACCCTGTGGGTTGTTGGAAAAGAACCCCTTGTTGTGAGCAGGTGCTCAGTCGATAGTTACTGAGTGAGTGAAAGAATCTTTTGTTAAAGCTTATGTTAATAGGAAAGTAATGATTATGGCATAAAATTATATCAAAGTGGGACACTTTGATCTCAACAGAGCCCCAAGTCTAAACCGGGCACTTAGGCACAGTCAGGATGTCGGGGACAGTGTCGGGGACCAAGAGGACTTTTCAGACACCCCGGAAATCACAGAGGCAGAGCTGGCTGTGCTGGCAACAAGGAAGGGAAGATGTCTGCAGTTCCAGTATCCTTCAAGATGCTTCAGGCTTTAAAAATACTAAGCTAAATTTTATTTAAGTACCACATTTGTATTTTTAATAGTACAATTTTTAAATTGAAAAAGTCTGTCTGTGATAAGTCAGGCCATTCCAATCATTGACTCTAGTTTCCTCTTGGAGCCACAGCTGTCATGCCCTCCCTGTGTGTTGTCCTTCCAGGGATTTTCCACATCGTAGAGATTATTACCAACATCATCCTCTCACTGAATATTTAAAACCACACCTGTATTTTTAAGAGGAAATCGTATAGGAAGTTTTGACAGATAATTCAGGCTGGGAATTTATGGAAAAACATAGAACATCAATAAATATAAAAATTTACATCTTAAATTTGCTTATTTGTGGAGTTGGGAGTCCCAAGGGAGCACATATCATGACAGCATTCACATGGTCCCTATGCAGGTGGGGTTCCATTTGACCATCAATGCACTGACAAAGCTCGGGAATGATGTTTACTTTCCTTTTACAGGTGAGACCCCAGAGAGGCAGATTTTGCTTAAGGTCACTGGGGCCGCAGGTGACCTAGCTGGGAAAGAACCAAGGGGGCTAGGGTCTCTGGCCTCTGCTCTTTCCAGGCCACCTGAATCTTCTCTCTAGGTTAAAATGCAGAGATTTTCATAGCTACAGGATTCCCAATGGAACCACATCAGTTCCCAATGGAACCTAGTATTTGAATTTTCATGACTGGAAAAGATGGAATAACAAGGAACAGATTTATCCTCCCAAGGTAATTTAAAAACTGGAAAAAAAAATATGAAATAATGATTTCGCATACACCAGACAGGCAGCAAAGAATAGGAATCCCTGAGAGGGGAAACTAATGAAGGGTTTCCTATGGTTCCTCCAGTTTACTGCCTGGAGACTTTCCAGGCCAGACAGTGATGGGGGACACAGCGGAGCCCAGAGGTCTCAATGTGCGGAGGAGATGGGGTTGGGGCCAGGGAGAGGCCAAAGCAGCTGGAGTTCAAAGATGGGGTCCGAAGAGAATTCCAGAGGTGTGTGTGTGTGTGTGTGTGTGTGTGTGTGTGTACACCAGACATTTTAGGTAGAAATAATTTCCATTTCCTAGAGACATATCAAGAAGAGGGAACACTTCTCAACTCATTCTAGGAGGCCATTATTACCTTGAAACCAAAGCTAGACAAAAACATCAGAAGGAGAAAAAAACAGAGGCCAATATCACTCATGAACATAGATGCAAGAATTGTTAAGTAAATTTTAGCAAATTGAATCTCAAAAATATAGAAAAGAAACTATGTCATGACCAAATGGGTTTATCCTGGGAATACAGGACTGGTTCAGCTCTCAAAATCAATCCCATGTGACTCATCATATGAGCAGGACTAAAAACACCCAGCTGATGATTTCAGAAGATCAGGGTTGGCAAACGATGGCTTATGGGCCATAAGATATAGGATCAACACCTGTTTTAGTAAATAAAGTTTTATTGACATACAGCCACACCCATTCTTTTATGTATTGTCCCTGGCTGCTTCTGTGCTACAATGGCAGAGTTACGTAGTTACGACAGGGACCATATTGCCCTCAAAGACTAAAATATTTACTATCTGACTTTTTACCAAAAAGTTCACTATGCCTGCAATAGATAACAGAAAAAAAACTTTGTCAAATTTCAACATCTATTCCTGACCAAAAGGCTCAGCGAACTAGGAGTAGAAAGAAGGTAACTCCTTCAGCCTAATAAAAGGATTCTATTAAAAATGCCCACAACTAACATCAGCTTTTAGTAAAAGCACCCTTAAGCTATGAAAGGATGTCTGTTCTAACCATTCCTATTTAACAGTCAGCATCGTGTCAGAGCTGGTGAAATAAGGCAAGAAAAATAAATAGAAGGTGTATATATTGGAAAGGAAAAACAAAACTGTTCACAGATAATATAATTTTCTAGAAAATCCTGAAGAATCCACAGGAAGACTGCTGGAACTGAAGGCAGGTTGATCAGGGTGGTGGGTTACAGAGTCAGTGTGTGAAACAATCACATTTCGATATGCTAGAAACAGACAGTTGGAAATTAAAATAAGTACCATTTGTAGTAGCACCAAGAAATAGGAAATATTTATGTATAATCTAATTATGCAGGGTCTTGTTGCTGATCAGGGGAGTCACAGGAGACCTAAAGAGATGAAATCATTGCAAGGTCAGAAGACTGGCTATGTCAAGATGTCAGCGTCTTGCAAAGTGATCTACAGATCTGTAGCAACCCCAATCAAAATCCCGCCCAGTTTTTTTTTGTTGAAATTCACAAGCTGTTTCTTAAATTTATATGGGAAGACAAAGGAACCAGAATAGCTAAATCAGTTTAGAAAATGAAGACCAAAGTGGGAGGATTCACGCTACCTGATTTCAAATCTTATTGTAAACATACAGTGACCAACACAATGTGAAATCTGAAAAAGAATAGATCTTATGTCAGTGGAACAAAAGAAAGAATCCAGAAATAGACCCACACATATGTGATCAACTGATTGTCACCATCTGGCAATTCAAAGAGCAAAGTGTCAGCAAAAGCAACTCAACAGAGAAAGCTGAGTTTGTTTAACAAATGGTGTTGAAACAATGGAGCATCAGTATATGCAAGAAATCAAACCAAAACAAAATATCTACCTTTCATCATGGACACAAACTCAACATAAATCATAGTCCTAAATGTAAAATCTACAACTGTAAAATTTCTAGAAAAGAACATAGAAAATATTTGTGACTTTGAACTAGGCAAAGATTTCTGATATTCGACACCAAAAGCATGATCCATAAAATGAAAATGGATAAATTGGACTTGATCAATATTAAGAATTCCTGATCTTTGAAAAACCATGTTATGCAAATGAAAAAGCAAACCCCAGACTGGTAGAAAATATTGTCCAATCACATATCTGGTGAAGGACTTGTATCCAAAATGTACAAATACCTCTCAAAATGCAATAATAAGAATAAATAATAAATCATGGGCAAAATGTCTGAACAGACCTCTGACCAAAGAAGATATACAGGTGGCAAGTGAACAGGACGGGATGCTCAACATTACTAGTTACTAGGGAAATGCAAATTAACAGTACAATAACATACCACTGCAGGCTCATTAGATTGGTTAAACAATAGAAAATATCAAATGTTGAGGAGGACCCAGGGCAACTCGAATCCTTCTAGTCAACGCAAAAATCTGTCTTGACAGTTTCTTATAAAGTAAAACATAGTTACCATATCTCTAGATATTTACCGAAGTGAAACGAAAATCTGTATCCACCCCAAAACTACTACGCAGATGGTTACCGTGGCTTTATTTGTAGTTCCCAAACCTGGAAACAGGTTGGATGTCATTCTGCTGGTGAGGAATGAACAAACTGTGGTTCCAGCGGAGCATCACTCACTGAGAAGGGGCGATGGCGGATACACACACGACATGGCAATTGGCTGACGGAGGAAACCAGACTCACGGTCTACACAGCGAACGACACCGCGTGGACGGCATTCCGGAAAGGGCGACGCTAGAGGCACAGGAAACAGGTCCGTCCTTTTTAGGGCTGGGGGTGGTGGAAGGAATTGACTACAATGGAGGCGTGGAATTTGGGGTGATAGACCTGTTCTGTCTTGTTCGTTGCAATGGCGACATGACCCTATGTATTTGTCAAAACTTGCAGGACTGGACGGTAAAAAGGATGGATTTCACTGTATGTAAATTATACCTTAATAAAAACCAAAAAGTCTTGTAATAACGCCTGACATTTCTTATGAACCAGACTCTGTCTGCCCCAAGTTGTTTACCTCTGTCAGTTCGTTTAATCCTCACAGTAACTCCATAGCTTACAGACGATGAAACAGGTTCAGAGAGGTGAAGTAACTTAACCAAGGTTGCACAGCTAATAAGAGGCAGAGCCAGGATCTGATCAGCTCTTGGCCTCTACCCTGCACTGTTTCCCACGCCCCCATGTCCCACAGAAACTTTTCCATTTCCGCTCTTGTTCAGCAGAGAAAGACGAAGGAGGGGAGGTTGGATTCCTCTGGACTATGACAGATACCAATAAGAGTCTAAGACTAGGCTAACATGATCAACGTCAGGGAAAGGTGATATATTACATGGTCAGTGGCACCACGCCCCTTAGTGGTGAGGAGCCTCTTCCAGCCCAGGAAGGGAAGTGAGAGCAGCTCCCCTGCCGTGGAGCCTGGACTCCACGTCAGCGAGTCATCCCTGGGAGCCCTCCTTTAGAACCTCTTTGCCTCGTGACTCCGAGGTCTGGCTCATGAGGACGATGTTACGAAGCCTGTACGTTTGTGTCTCTGGGGGGTCAGTGGTGGGTTCAGTGTAGCCCCGAACAGTGAGTCTGGGAAGCGTGGGGTTGCTCTGCTCGTGGAAGAAATGAACACACCCCCAGAGGGTGTGAGGCAGCCTGTGTGCTAGGGGTTGTGTGTCTGTCTGGAGAGGAGGCCGTCGAGCAAAGGGAAGGCTCTGCCTGTGGTGACAGGGTCAGGAGGCCCGGCATCTGCTCAGCAGAGCGTGGGTGCCTGGGGGACCGAGGGTGGAGAGAGGAGGGTGCGCCTCCCTGCAGGGACCCCGAGGGGCGGGAGCCCTCCCTGGAAGGGGCCTGGAAGGCGCCAGGGACTGGGTGGGACCGGTGACGCTGCGGGTATTGGACCATGTTTGATCTGCACAAACAGGAATTTCCAACGGCTCAACCTAACACGTGGTCCTCAGGAGGCGTTATAATCGACTCATTCTTTCCAATTTTGAGGCTCCCAAGTCCCCCAAACAGAGACATGTATGAGGACTGTCTTCTAGGTGATCATTTGTCTACAAAGAATATGGGGTTGATCTGTAACCTAGTTCAGACGAATCATTGCAAACTCTGGGGTCTTAGACGATGCAAGAACAGAAGTCGGTCTTGTGCGTAAATCAGTGCTGAGCATCCAGGCCGCCTCCCGTGAGCGGAAACAGGAGCCACACTTCCGTGGAGGTGAGTTTATCTTTGGCAGCAGGACAAGGTTCTAGATAAATCTGCCCACACAACCTGGGGGATGGATCCTGCCTGTTCCGGGGGAGCCGATCTCGGTGGGGCGCCGGGGCTCGGGGTCCCCTCGGTGTCACGAGGGGCAGGCAGGGGGCGCTGGCCGCCGGCTTCTAGATGGACGGGGGCTCTACAGTGAACACGCACTCGGAAGGCAGACCTGCTGCGTTGTTCTCCGTGGCGACGCTTCCAGCTCGTTAAGAACCCCGCTCTCAGTCTGCATTTCTGAGTTCCCATGGAGCGGGCACCTCTGGGAGCTGCTTTCTCTCTGCTGCACTGTTCTAGAACAGAGAAGACAGCCCCGGTGGCCTCGTACCCGAGCGGTCAGGGCTGCCGCCAGCCTGCTTCTTAAACAACTTCCTGTTCCGCAGAAGGCACATGTGCCCACCCGTGAGCTTGCGGGAAGACAGCACAGGGGATGCAAGAGGCCACGCCAGCCCCGTCCACACGTGGCCCGAGGGCGGTCCTGGGACCCACGGATTGGTGGGGCTGCGTCTGTCAGTAGGAGGCGCTGAAGGGCTGACGTCGTCGTCGTTACCAGGCTGATTCCTTTTACTTCCATTCCTGGCAATCTCGCACTGGGTGAATTTCTGTCCACGTTCCTGCCCAGGACAACCAGGCTCAAGGCAGAGACAAACTCTGAGCCCACAGATGAGAAAAGCAAACGCTCTTGGTGTGGCCCACGGGCAACCTGAGCACACGTCAGTCGAGGCTCACACGTGGGAGAATCTGAGTCGTGGCTTCTCACCCGGGCCACAGCCTCTTTGGAGGGTGCTCGGGGCTGGACTTGATATTTGAATGGGCTTGATCACCCCAAACCGCCTTCCAGTCATCCCGGCAGGCCTGTCCTGAGCAGCCCTGGGAGCCCCCTTTGCAGTCTCCTTGGAGACATGGGCGCCATCCCCACGTGCCTGGGACCCAGGCATCACGGGAGGAAATAACACAGGAAAGAAGACAGGGCTCCCAAAGCCTCACTCCGCTTCTTAATCAGAATAAAATGGCGAAGTATTTATTTTTACTTTGTAAAAAAGGCAGTCAACATTCAGCGGGGAAACTCCTCTTGGCTTGACAATTTCCTGGGCACTGGATGGAAGGTCTTTGCCGGCAGGTGGGGTCAGGGGTCGCCCTGAAGTTCACGTGTTGGGGTCCTGACCCCAGTGCCTCTGACGGTGACCTAGTTAGAATGGGGTCGCTGCAGACGGGACTAGTTAAGGTGAGGCCCCACTGGAGCAAGGTAGCCCTGATCCAACAACATGACTGGTGTCCTTATGAAAAGGGGAAATTTAGCCGCAGACACAGACGTGCACGGGGACGGAGGCCAGGTGACGGCAGGGGCAGAGATGCAGTGATGTCTCTACAAGCCGAGGACTGTGCAAACCACCAGAACAGGGGTCGGGGGGCGTGGAGCAGATTAAGGGCCCAGCCCCCCTTGGTCTGGACTCTGCCTGCATAGCCGACAGGCAGGTGGTTCCTAGTGTTTTGGCGCCGGGTCTGCGGTATTTTGTTCCAGACACAGGTGGATGGACTGGCTGCAGGTGCCGGCGATGGACCTTATCCTCGCTTGGGATGAGAAGCTGAAAGCAAGCAGTTCCCTCAAGCACCGACATCTGACAGGGAAGGGGGGCCCGAGTGTAGACGGAATGCGCCCGTGGGTCCCCCAGCAGGAGGTGGGTCCTGGCTCCAACCAGGGCAGCGAGGAGACCCGTGATGCACACACGGCCCAGATCTCAGACTCACAGAAGAGTGAGCGTATCCCCCGAAGCTGTGGCTTTCACAGTCTTTGAATCTTCCCACACAGCTAGGAAGGCGCTTTGTACCGTGACCAATGACCACCTCCTGTCTCTCGAAACAAAAGTTTCACCAACACGTGCATTGTTTTTATTCTGTTTTTCTCTTCTAGATGTTGGTGCCAACCCAATGAATTGATTTCAGGACCCACTCAGTGGCTTGGAAACCACTGGCCTGGTGGAGCCCCGCTTCCCGTGGAAAGGTGTCAGCCCACCAGGCGGGGCTGAAAGGACCAGCTGTGTCCTAACCCCCAGCACGGAGATGGGTTCCTCTCCAGCTATAGCCATGCTGTTGTCTGATCTTCCCTCTGTTTCTGCCAGACTTTTTCTTTGCCCTTTGCCTTCAGTGAACATGGAGGAGTATTCCTTTAACTTGTTGGCCACTGTTTTTCCAGTCCAGTTCCTCCGTGACCACAGGATCTCTCTCTGGCACAGTTTCCTGGCCTGATCCCGACAGGTCAGTGAGCACCTCGGCGAGGCCCTCGGTGGGTTTGCCTGCGGACCCCAGAACCCGCCCCTTCTGCCACAGCAGAAACTCTTGTCAGGTTGCATCTGAGCTGCTTGTGAAGTTACTAGATCATGATGGGATTTCGCCTTTTCTCCATGTTAATAAAACACATGCCTGTAGAAGCTGGTCCTCTGCTCAGATGAGCTCCAGGGCTAGTGTTCCCTTCCAGCTGGGACACTTCAGTCATTCATCTGCCCGTTTATTCATTCAGAGTCTGCAGACACCTACCCTGCAGGTTTGGGCTTCACGACGCCGTTTCCCTTTAATTAAACGGGCTGAACCTCTAACAGGATGTCATCAGCCACTGACTGGCTGTGTAGCCCTTCTGCCGATCCATTCTTTCCTGGAAACTAGCAGGTCCTGGTGGGTCATCCTGACCCCTCCTGGCCCTGGTATCCCATCATCCTAGATGCCTTGAAAAATCAAAAATGTACGCCTGCAGAGCAAAAGGAGGGGGAATCAATGCCTGATCAGGAAATAGGAAACATTACATTCATGCAGCGAAAAAGACTGAACAAGTATCAACGTGGTGGCGGTGGAGATGGGGGAGTATTTCCCACCAACTCCTCATCAGGCAGAGGCAGTGAAACTTGCCTGGATGATTTGGCTGGGGAGGAGGAATGTCTGTTTGAGGCTGGGGGGCGACCAGCACCTGCAAGAGGGGTCACCAGCACTCACGGCTGCATGATCACGATGAGGCAGGAATTGCTTCATGATTGTTGTTTTACCCAGGAATCCTTGTTTGGATTTACCCCATAGTTATCAGTTTGTTTTAAAACAAAATTCTATCAGTGCGAAACTCTTAGGATTTTACAGTGTATGTAGGCTTAACTCATGCATTAAATTTTTTTCTTTTTGGCAATACTCCTTAGAAAGCAAGATCCAAGTATATGTAGTATGCTGTATACTTAAAGTGATGCTGAATGACTGAAAATAAAGGAAAGGAGGTGAAAGACATATGTTGAGCACTATGAAACACTGATAAAGGAAACTGAAGCTGATTCAAAGAAATGGAAAGATATCGCATGCTCTTGGATTGGAAGAATTAATGTAGTTAAAATGGACATACTACCCAAAGCAATCTACAGATTTAACTCAATCCCTACCAAATTACCCATGACATTTTTTCACAGAACTAGAACAAATAACCCTAAAATTTATATGGAACCACAAAAGACCCAGAATTGCCAAAGCAATCCTGAGGAAAAAGAACAAAGCTGGAGGCATAATCCTCCCAGACTTCAGACTATACTACAAAGCTACAGTAATCAAAGCAGTGTGGTATTCGCATGAAAACAGGCACATAGATCAATGGAAGAGAGGACAGAGCCCAGAAATAAACCCTCACACCTATGGTCAGTTGATCTACAACAAAGCAGGCAAGAATACACAATGGAGAAAAGACAGTGTCTTTAATAAGTGGTGCTGGGAAAACTGGACAGCTACATGGAAAAGAATGAAATTAGAACATTCTCTCACTGTCAGGATTTAAACACCTAGATCCTTGCTTCTCCTGGGCACTTACTTTACATGAATGCCAGCAGGGGTTATTGAGGATGATGACTACCTGTAGAAGTATTGCCAACCTGGAGGCATTCAAATCCAAAGGTTTATAAATATTACAGCAGCACTGTGGAGAATAGTATGGAGGTTCCTTGAAAAACTAAAAATAGAGCTACCAAATGATCCAGCAATCCCACACCTGGGCATATATTCGGAGAAAACTCTATTTTGAGAAGGCACATGCACCCCTATATTCATTGCAGCACTATTGACAATAGCTAAGACATGGAAGCAACATAAATGTCCACTGACAGAGGAATGGATAAAGAAGATGTGGTACATGTATACAATGGAATATTACTCAGCCATAAAAAAGAATGAAATAATGCCATTTGCAGCAACATGGATGGACCTAGAGATTGTCATACTGAGTGAAGTAAGTCAGACAGAGAAGAATATCACATGATATCGCTTATATGTGGAATCTAAAAAAATGATACAAACGAACTTATTTACAAAACAGAAACAGACTCCCAGACATAGAAAACAAACTTATGGTTAACAAAGGGGAAAGGGAGGGAGAGGGATAAATAAGGAGTTTGTGATTAACAGATACACACCGTGTATAAAATAGATAAACAACAAGGACCTACTGTATAGCACAGGGAACTATATTCAGTATCTTATAATAACCTATAATGGAAAAGAATCTGAAAATGAATATATATATATGTATATCTATCTATTTATTTATTTATCTAGCTAGCTAGCTAGCTATCTATCTAAATGAATCACTTTGCTGTACACCATAAACTAACACAACATTGTAAATCAACTATACTTCAATAATAAGAAAAAAGAAATAGTCGAGGAAGATTAAGAGGTAGAAACTTCCAGTTGCAAACTAAATGAGTAATAGGTATGAAATGTACAGTGTGGGGAATATAGTCAATGATTATGTAATACCTTTGTGTGGTGACAGATCACAACTAGACTTATTGCGATGATCATTTTGAAATGTATAGAAATATTGATTCACTATGTTGTGTAACAGGAACTAACGTAGTGTTGTAGGTCAATTATAGTTCAAAAACAAACAAACAAACTCATAGATAAAGAGATCAGACCTGTGGTTACCAGGGCTCAGGAGGAGGGGAATGGGGTGAAGGTGGTCAAATGGTAAAAACTTTCAGTCATAAGATAAATTAGTACTAGGGATGTAATGTACAACATGATAAATGTAATTAACCCTGCTGCAAGTTATATATGAAAGTTGTGAAGACAATAAGTCCTGAGTCCTCATCGCAAGGAAAATTATATTTTCCTATTTCTTTAATTTTGTATCTAAATGAGATGATGTTCAGTGAAATTGTGATCATTATTTCATGATATATGTAAATCAAGTCATCATGCTGTACACCTTAAACTTACACAGTGCTGTGTATCAATTCTATCTCAATAAAACTGGAAGAAAAAAAGAAAATCATATTACATAAAGAAGCAAGATACAGAATTTATATTGTATGTTTCCAACTATATTTTAAAAATAAGCCTTGAAAAAAGACTGAAGGGAAAGGATAAAAGGAAAGATTTTGAGATGATAAAAGAAATGGCCTTTAAAATATGAGATGTTCAGACTCACTCATAATTAGAAAATTGCAAATTAAAACAAGAAACACCCTCCTCCCCCATCAGACTGGTGATAATTTACAAGTGTGAGCACACACTGATGGTGAGGCTGCCGTGCCAGCCATGCTCGATGCCCACGCCCCGTCCCTCCACTGCACGCGGAGGCCGGCCGGGGTAGTCACCAGGTTACATTTACCATTGTTGCGAGACCTGTCTTCAAGGCCAGAGGAGAGCTGTGATCCATGGTAAACCTCGGGACCACCGACTTGGTAACTCTCATCAATTTGGGGTTCTTGGATGAAGAACATAGAAAACATGGGGGAGCATTTGATTACATACTTATGAACATTTCGGCTCACACTTTATTTTAAAAGGCTGGTTTGAAACACTCATGTTATTTTCAAATTTTATTGGAAAGCATTTTGGAAAGTTATTGTGTAAATATAGAATTATCTGACTATTCAGATTACATAGTCACTCATTTTTTGATCCCGTCATCCCAGTTCTAAGAATTTACCCTGGAGGGCTTCCCTGGTGGCGCAGTGGTTGAGAGTCCGCCTGGCAATGCAGGGGACACGGGTTCGTGCCCCGGTCCGGGAAGATCCCACATGCCGCGGAGCGGCTGGGCCCATGAGCCATGGCCGCTGAGCCTGCGGGTCCGGAGCCTGTGCTCCGCAACGGGAGAGGACACAACAGTGAGAGGCCCGCGTAACGCAAAAAAAAGAAAAAAAAAAAAAGAATTTACCCTGGTGATACATCTCCAACAATAGGAAAACACTTATGCACTAGGCTGTTCATTGCAGCAGTGTTTGTAACTGCAGAAGGTTGGAACCAAGTGAAAAGACTGTACACAGATAGCAGGGCGCTCAGTATGGTTTACACACGTTGTGGAATATTTTGCAGCTGTGAAAAATAGAGGGAGATCTATATTAACGGATGTGGACTGATTTTCAGTTTTCACTGTTAAGTGGAAAAAAAAGACTAGAGGAGATTTATGGTGTGTACCCCTCATGCAATAAAGGAGGGATACACGAATATCCCTCATCTCCTCATTCGTGCAAAAGGAGACACAGGAAGATGGAACTAAGGAGACTGGTCCCCTATACAGGTGGGATGATGGGCTAGAGGGGGCTTTGTGTGTTCCTTTTTCTAGAGTGTGACTTTCAAAACCATGGTGATGCTTCACAGAGTCAAATGTAAATAAGTATTTATAATTAACAGGATGAGGGGACCGACAAGGGAAAGCAAACAGTAACAAGGAGCCTTATGTATTAGAAATGAGCCACACGCAGGGTGCCCGGTGGGCAGGGAGGATGGCCCTGGCAACACCGGAAAACAATGACACTTAGAGATGAAAGGACCGATGAAAAATATTGTTCTCTTGTGGGGTGACTGGATTTTCTCAGGGGTGGGGATAGCAATTCTGAACTCCAGGACTACGCAGTTAAATCTGTGTGGAAAGTGGGAGCCACGTTCCTAACAAAGACTGTACCGAGAAGGAGCTTCGAGAAGAGCCCCTGAAATTGATACTGGAGTGGAACCAGAGGTGCCAGTGTGAACTCATGGGTTTATACAGAGAAACAAAGAGAGCAGGGAGGGAGGCTGAGAAGTCAGCACAGAGGTGTCTGTGTGTGTCTGCGTGCATGTGTGCATCTGTGTGTGTGTGTGTGCATGTGTCTCAGTCTACATCTGCATGTGTGTTTGTGCGTCTTCATATGTTTTCCAGCTCTGTCTGCCGAGAGAGACTGGAAGCAATGCTATTCCACTGAATTTACCTGGCAGCCACACTGGCCATTGGGCAATTTGCACAGGTCAATGTGTGGGACGCACCCAGAGGCATTAGAAATATTAACTGTAACTGCAACCCTATTCCTGCTCAATCTTCCAAACACCAGACGCCTGCCGGCTCACTGGAAAGACTGTTTGGGGAATGGGCTGAAATGCAGATTCCTGGGCGCCACCTGCAGAGACGTTCGATGGGCCCAGGAATGTGTCTTTGAGTCACCTCTTGTCTTCTCCGTCCCCAGGAGGCGGGAAATCTGCCTGACCAGGGAGGTGTCACGGTGGCGGAAGCAGCATCGCTCTCCAACCCTCCAACCACGCTGTTCATCCCCCACGAAGGAGGCGTCTCTGCCTACATCCTCCTGTCCTCCCACCTCATCTGAGCTCGGGCTGGGACCTGCCAGGCTGCATTTACCGTTATTGAGAATTTCGTCCTCAGGGTCCAGAGATAATGATGAAATATCTGAGAGCTCACGGTAACCCTCAGGACCACCAACTTGATAGCTCTCATCAAGGCCGGCATCTTTGATGAAAAGCGTGGAAAAGAATGAGGGAAAACATAAATGTACACTCCCGCGAACGTTTTCATCCATACTGTACTTTAGCTTGGGATGCTAACACAGTTTTCAACTTCTACTGAAAACGTGCTCTGGCAACCTAGTATGTAAACAGTCAGGCTTCATCTGACCTCCTTGAGCCCAGCTGTTTGGTAGATGTTCCATAGGCTGTTGGAACTTCCATCTGGATGTAAAATTTCAAGGAAATGCTGAACGTCCCTGCTGCTGAATGCGTTTTCACGCGCTGTGTGTAGATTTCTGCCGTGCTGCTCTCTCCTGAGCGAGGGTCAGATGCTCCGTCTTGGGTCTCAGGGTGCTATTTGACTTATCTGTATGCATTTGGACCGCATGAAGCTGTGCTTTGGGAAAGCACATTGTTTTGTTCACTAGCTCTGGGGCCTCGGGCCAGTCCTCTTCCAGACCTTACTTTTATCCCCTGACGGATGGGGTCGTAGTCACTGCCCTGCTCTCAGAGGTTTAGGTGAGCATCAAACGTGCTGGGTGGCCGAAAGCTCCTATTTCCGTGCGCCCCGGGTTCCCGCAGTGGCTAAACCCCACCTGCATCCCAAGCAGAGGCCCTTCTTGCACCCAGACACCAGCCGGGAGAAAGGAACTTGTCTCTGCCTGTCTAGGTGTGACCTCCCCAGTCTAGGGAAGATCACAGCAGAGGTTTGGGACGACTGTTTCATCCACATCTCCATCAGCTTTTGCCCCAGAAGTAGCTGGCCTCAAGGAATGCGACTGTGATGGGATTGTGCATATGTACCACAGTCCTCTAGGAACACATGTAATTAGGCTTTAAGAAATGTGTACTTGCTTTTTCTCTTTGTCGGAGTCTTTGTCGATGTTGGTGGGAGTCTTTGTGTTTCAAGAAATGATGATTTATTTGGCTCCAACATCTCTTGGACCAGAATTTCATCTTGGAAAAAGCACACAAGGACAGTTAAACCAGCAATGCAAGGCCCTACCTACATCCTTCTGCTCTTCGCAGACCTAAGGCAGGCGGCGAATGCTGGACTGGACACAGGGACTCAAGGAGCTCCGTGGAGATGGACCTGGTTTCTAAAGAACCTTGTCTCGGTGGGGAGACCACTGCCTCCCTAAATAACTTCTGAAAACCTGAGATCATCCAGGTACCCTGGACAAGAAACATGCCCCCGGAGATACGATGCTGGAAACCCGGCCCGGGCGTCGTCGTAAATCTCCTTCCCGCCCCTGCTGCCGTCTGTCCCCTCTCTGAGACTCCTCCCTCTAGCTGTCCCCCGGCAGGCAGGCACGAGCATCTTCCCTGATTTCTACCTGATGCGGCAGGGTTTCCTTCCTATACATCCTCTGACCTCTGCCAGGGAGCTTCTAACAGAGGCGTCCTGGACTGTGTGTCGGGGAGCCCCGGACCACACTCTGGTTCTGCTCTCACTGACTGTGCTCTTACACATGTTTCTCTTGAACCTTGGGTTTTCACGTCTGTAAAATGGGGTCTGTGCTTATCTCATCGGGATTTTTACGAGGTTCAAATGAAGCAGGGCATGTAGGGAGCACTTAACATAGACTGAGGTGGGGTTGAGGCTAAATGAATACACGGCAGCGCTGAGCCCCAGCTGTGAGCCCAGTGGTCATGTGACCGGCCATCCACGCGCTGGGTTTGTATTGACTCGAGCCCTGATTTTCCTGGTTCAGCATGAAAGTCCCAAGTCCCGAGAGCCCCTCAGTCCCAGCCAAGTTGAAGCTGTCGGCTGGTGCCCCGGTTCCAGCTCACGTGGAGACACACGGAAAGGGGAGAAGCCCGCAAGCACCAGAGGAAGCAGAGACTTCGCCCCACACACGAGGCCAGGCTCTCCCAGTTCTGTGACTCCCTCCCCAGAGAGCCTGAGCCTGGCCAGGGCCTGGCTGTGTGCACCCAGGGGCGCTCTGAGACCCCTGCAGCCTGGGTGGGGGGTACAGGATGTGCGGAGCGTCTGGACCTGCAGCCCTGCTTCTTTCTGACGACCTGGTGGTGGCCCTGACGTCTGGAGCTGTGGACGCCTCGGGACTCCGGGGCACAAGCTGGAGGGCCGGCCAGGGCGACCTCAGGGGCGCGGCCTCCTGGTGGGGCTGCTGGGGACACAGGACAGGACCCCGCGGGGCGGGGTTCCCCACCCCCTATCCCCCCACCCCCGGGATCTGCTCGCACGGCCGCTGCAGCTGCTCTGCAGCACCTCCCCCACCTCGAGCTGGCCTTGGCCCCTTTGCTGGGAGCTACTGTGCAGAAGGACCACCGCTAAGTCCCAAAAACATCATGGCGTCAGGCTAGACTGGGGGTCACGGGGAAGAGTGGACACTCAAGGGAACCACAAGCATTTACTGAGCACCTACTGTGTACCAGACACGGTCCAGGTGCTGGAGGGTCAGGGACGGCCCAGCCCTGGTCCCTGGTCTCTGTCGCGAGGCATCCAGCCGTGTGTGAGGGCAGGATGAAGTGTGCACAGACCTTCGGCTGTCACAGGGCCCCTACCCAGGGCTGGCGCAGCGGCCAGGCAGGGGACAGGGCTCGGCCGACCAGCGCAGAGAAGCGAGGCCTCCTGCGGTCAGTGTGACGTGCAGGACGCTGGGGTGGCCTCCGGGGCCCCCCGCGCCATGACCCACAGACATCCTGAGAGGTCCCCGGAGCGGGTGGTGACAGCCCAGCTGCAGCAGGACACACTCCCTGCCGGCGGGCAGGGACAACCTCGGGTGAGAGGGGCCGAAGTCACCCTCAGGGCTGGGGGCTGGGGACGCCCCAAAGGTGGGCAAACCAAGACCAAAAGCTGCCGGAAACTTCCACACCTCTGTGTGTTGTGCGTATAATCGTAGCTGGAAGAGCCCTCAGGTAGACATGAGCCGACCAGGTGTGCAAGGTGAGAAAGCTCTGTGGTTTTAAACCTTGTCCTTTTCTACTTAAAATTTTCCTTTTTGAGAAATGAGATATTGAACGTGCAAACGGACGATGACCTACATAACACAGAAAACACTCTGGCTGCTGCGTGAGCGCCCTGCAGGGCACCTAGCTGGCCACCCAGACATCGCAGGAAGCTGACGCTGGAGGCCAAACACCCACCCTCAGGGATTGGCGCCCCCCTGACGGCCGGCCGGGCCTCATCAGTGACTGATGGCTTCCCGTGCTCCTCCCTGCTTCCAACTCAGGACGCGAGTCAGACGTGCTCCCCTAACCCATCACACGGAGTCGCTTCTGGTCAGCACCTCCCCCAGGACACCCCTGAGCTGTCCCCCAGCCCCTCCCCCAGGACACCCCTGAGCTGTCCCCCCAGCACCTCCCCCAGGACACCCCTGAACCCCCTTTCCCACCATGAGCTCTCCCCACCCCATCTGCCTGAGTCTGCCACACGCCAGTGACGGTGGCTGACGCTGCACAGCGAGCTCTGAACCAGCACCCCTGCTGTTCTCATGTGGGTCCCCTTGGCTTATTTCCAGACACAAGGATTTTTCACTTCTAAGGCTCTCCACTTTCTACCTGGGATGTAAGGGCAGGGCAGGGGCTGCAGTTCCCCTGCAGGGTTAGCTTGCTGAGCCCAGAAAATCGTCAGAAATCCCAGTGACTCCATTGTTTCTGACCTTTTCCCAAAGGTTGTCTGGGGCTCTGGGTGGTGGGCTGCCCGGACGGAGCGGGTGCTGGTGTCGGACTCTAATTCTCCACTACGGTAACTGTCAGACCCGCCAGGCAAGTGTGAGTCCTCGTCCCAGCCACTCCCTGACCTGGTGGAGCCGGATTCTCCCCGAGAGCTCAGCTGACCACCGGCGGCCCCAGAGCTGCGCGTCCTAACCGGCAGCATCCTGAAGGGGGTCTCACTCCGCCGCAGCTCAGGCCTGCGCGGGCCGTGGGAACGTGATCCTAGCCTCAAACCAAGTCACCTGGCTCCACCTTGCGCGGCTGCCCCAGCTTATCTGGGACACACCCCCCGACGGTCACCCAGCCCCTCCAGGCATGGACCAGATGTGTGATAAGAGGAGCCTCCTTACCAAATACTGTGTCCATATCGTCATCCAGATTTCTTAAATTTGCTGGCTGTTCAGTGCCTGAAACTGGGGGGGAAAAAAACCCAATAGTTTAACAACGTTCCCTGAATTTGCACCGACTTGTCCGTCGGCCGACTGGCTTTTGCGGGGCCGACCACCTGCTCGAGGGGGAGAGGCCCTGCACGGGGCTCCTGGGACTCGGGGCCCGCCGGGAGGGAGGGGTGAGGACGAGTGGCGCGCCGGGCGCTGGAGGTGACACCCGCGCTCCTGGGCCGCGCTCACTGGCGCCGCCCCTCGGGGGAGGAAGGAGCGCCGGGCGGGTGAAGAGGGACCCGCACGTCCTTCCGTAAAAACCCACGCGGCTCCCGTATGACCGGCGGGCTGAGGATGTGACGTGCAGAAGGGACACCGTCACGGCCACCTGCCCTGTGCCTCTCTGGGCGGGGGGGAGAGGCACTGGCCCCGCCGGCTCCTCTTCCGTAAGCGAGCCATTCCGAGTCCCCTGGGGGAGCTGACCGCCGGCAGCAGTCCTCCGTGGGGCCCCTGGGCTCCTGGCCGCCGGCCTCCCCGGCCTGGCCGACCTGAAGCAGCCTCGCGGGCCGGGCAGTGGGCGGGGACTCTGAGTGCCGGCCCCCCGGCAGCACCGCCCAGGGCTCCTCCCCCTTTTCTTAGGGCTGGGTGTCCGGCTCCAGGTCCTCCATTCAAGGTCAGGGTCAGCCCCTTCCTCCAGCCCCTGGGGAGAGCAGAGAGCAGACAGCCGCCCCCAGGGGCCGGCCGGGCAGGGCCCCCGTCCCCTCGGGGCGCACAGAGCGTTCAGGTGGCGCCTGCAGGCGCTCAAGTTCCAGCACTAAAGCAGGGACGACGCTGAATTTCCAACAGTTTTAATGATGGGCGATCTGCATACCGATCGGCTCATCTGCGCGCCCGCGGCTTCGAACAACACAGGAAACCGGCATAAAGAGGGCCGCGCTGTGATGACAATGGCTTCCCAGTGTGCTGACCTCCGTAAACGCAGCAAACAAAAGTACAGTCCTCTTTGGCTACGACACTAACGAGTCATTACGAACGGGTACAGCTGCTCGTGCAAGCACTTTGTTAAATATATTCTCATTTTGTGTCTGTCCCCAATTATAGTGGAGCCATTGTGCCAGCCAGCCAGTGAGCGCATGCAGAAGAATATTTACTTCTGTGGTCTCGGCCCGTTTGCGGAGTGCGCTGTCAAGTGCAGCCGCCTCGCCGTGTTGTGCCTGTTGACGCCTCCTCCCCCTGACATTCTCAGTTTTCCACCCGCCCTGTGCCCGCGTTAGGATAACCGAGCTGGGAAGCCCTTGACGGTCACCTGCGGACGTCTCTGTCTGCACGAGGAGACGGACCGACTTGGGGCTGCGTCAGGAGCGCTTGGGTCAAGCCTGTGTGGGAGCAGCTCCCGCGGGCACCAGGGGACCGACAGTCGTGAAAGGAACGGGCAGCCGGGGGAACCCAGCGGTGTGGGGTGACCGCACGTCCCCACCTGTCGCAGACCCTTCGACACCCCAGCACCCAGAGGATGCCATCCTTGGTAGGCGCCTCAAAACTCAAAGTTTCTTGCAGGAAAGCAGCTGGAAGCAGTAGCTTCTTCGTGACGAGGTCAGGCAGGGTGACCTCCAGACCCAGGCTGGGCTGGGCCGCCCCCCTGGTAACTCTGGGTCCAGCCTGGGCCACGTCCTGCTCTCAGGGGAGCCGCATAGGCCCTGTGCTGACTCTCCAGGGCCTGCTCGTCCGGCCTGGGAGCTGGGCCGGGGGTCTGTTGGGACCCCTTTCCTCGAGCTCGCCCTTGGTGACCTCTGAGGGGGGCAGGAAGGGGAGGGGGGGAGCAGGCGGCCTGGGCTTGCAGCCTCCTGCCAGGAAGAGGGGGTCGGGGGGCCCCGCCCCTGTCTGCACCTTCGGCCTCCTCGGCCAGCGAGTCACATCCCAGCAAGGGGGGCGCGTCCACTGTCCCCTTCCTCAACTCAGAGGTTAGGACACAACAGCCGGAGGCAGGTGGGGCCTGCTTGGGTGGGATTCGAACCAGCCGCCTGTAAAGGACATTCTGAGACCTGGGGGGAGGCTTGAGTGTGGGCCAGTACTAGCCCTGCACGGGAGTTTTGTTAATTTTGCTAGTGTTTCAATGCCACTGTAGGTATGTAAGAGAAAAATGCCTTTATCTTAGTAAGAAGGCGTTTGCATAAAATCATAAGACATCTTGGACGATGCTGAAATGCTCCAGTAACAACTAAAGTGTGTGTGTGTGTGTGTGTGTGTGTAAAACAAGATGGCAAAACGTATACGATTGAAACCGGGTGATGGAGTTTCCACGATTCCCCCACTTTTGGGTGAGCTAGAAATTTTCCATGATTAAAAGTTAAAATATATAATGTATGCTACTCTCCCATGGAGTATTGGATCTGAACAAAGCTTCAAATATAGAACAACACTTCAACTTGCTCCATTCCCCCGGCAATAAACGGTAAATCTGGGGAGGCATGAAGGGGAGGGACCCCTAGGAGAAGGCCATGGCCCACCTGACTCAGCCCGGGGAGGCACCCGTTTTCTCCCGCCCACAGCAACGCCCCGTGACTGTACCCGTGGTCACGTTTATCAGCCGGAACTCAGCTCCCTGCCTGCAGTAAAGCAGCAGGACGAAGACGGCCACTCCTGTATTAGCCACCATGTTCCTCCAGCTGCGGAAGGAGGACGCTCTCCTGAGGTCCCCTCAGATTCTCCCGCGTGGTCTCCAGGACACTGTGGAAAGTCCAGGGTGTGTGACATCACGGCAGGAAGCGAACAGCGTCCTGCCTGTGTGGGTGGAAGAGACAGGAAGATGCGGGAGACCCCTGGGGCCTTGGGGGACGGGGATCCCCTCTCCTTACTTCTGTTGCCCGTTCCCGTCCTCCCTCAGTCCTGCAGACCCTGAGACCTGGCAGAACCCAACAAAGCCAGCTTCGGGGAAAAGTGGCGCGTTGGGAAAAGGCTGGGAGCTCACTGAGTTACAGAGCAGGTGCTGGAGCCAGCAGGGGGGCCGGGGCTGATGCCTGTCTCCCCACCATCCCCAGTCACCCCTCCATCTCAGCAGGAACAAGGCCGCTTGTCCCCCCGCACCACCTCCCAGCTCCACCCCTCAGAGATTCTTGCTCCATTCACACCAGTGAGAAAATCCCACAGGATTTTGGTTGGCTTGCCTGGGCCATATCGCATCCCATATCCCAATCCCGGACCGATTCCTATGTCTGGGGCTCAGAATGGGGTAGCTGGTCCACCCCAGGGCAGGGCTGGGTCCCAGGTGGACAGTCCTCCAACCACAGGGGGGTGGTCCTGGATGCACAGCAACGGTGCCCCCTAAACCCAGGGAGGACCCAAAGGTGGCAGGCCCACCAGGGTTCTTTTGGCTTTTTTATGTTTTTATTGCTGTTATGGGGAGCCAATGCAGGTGCTTTAAGGATTTTCTTTGGGTAGATGTAGTGGAAAGCAGTCTACCTTGAGGGATAGCCACGGAGGAGACTGTAAACGTTTGCAGTGTCCATGGACATGTTGAATTTAAGCACAGCTTACATTTGCAGGTAGCATGTTGGGTTCCGTGTCCCATTTGAGTTAATTAATGGTCTGATGACACACAGACCAGTGGTCCGGACACTTTCCATTCAAGTGTGGTCCTTTGACCAGCAGCCTCAAATGGAAAACAGCACCATGAAGGGATGTAGAACTTTGACCCACAGTCTGCAGTGACCAGCCCGGGAAGGGAAACCAGTGTCCGTGGTGACCATCCAGGAGCAAAGAGTGCCATCCACAGTAACCGTCCAGGTAGATCCAGGTAGGTAAACAACAGCCCCTGCCGGGATCTGATCAGTAACTGACAGTTTTCCTAATTTTTGTCTCCACTTCCAATTTAGACCAAGCAGAGAGAGCTGGGCTCTCACGAATGAAGCCCTGGACGTTTCCCTGTAAGGGTGTGGACAGCAAAGCCAGAGAGACCCACCCTGGGCAGGTGTGTCCTACACGCTCACTTCAAACAATATAAAGTTATAATCTTACTGGTTCTGGAGACCAGAAGCCCCAGCTGGGCGTCCCTGGCCTAAAACCGTGGTGTCAGCAGTGCCTTGTGGCTTGTGGAATTTGTTTCCTTGCCTCTTCCCACTGCCAGGAGCCACCACATTCTTGGACTGTGGCTCTTCTCCTCCATCTTCAAAGCCTGTCCTTTCTCTGACTCTCTGCTGCGACATCTATAGACCCCTGTGATTACAGTGGCCGCTCTGGCTGGGCCACAGTACCTACATGTACTGAATCCTATCCTGGCTGTGTTTCTGTGAGGGTGTCTTGAGTGAGATTTAGGTTTAAATTGGTGGGCTTTGCAGTCATGATAAGACAAATACTGTCTGACTGCACTTATATGAGATCCTTAGAGTTGTCAAAATCACAGAGATAGAAAGTAGATGGGTAGGTGCAAGGAGCAGAGTGAAGGCAGAATGTATAGACTTTATGTTGCACAAGATAAAAAGAGTTATGGGACTATCTCTGTAAAATTGTGTAACTAGATTGTGTAAAATAACTTCATTGCTTAATATGAAATCATAAAGTTAAAGCTTGGGGGAAATGGGCTTTTTAGAAGCAAACAATTCTAAGTATATTCTGTTCTTTGAATAAATGTCTTTTTTTTTTCTAAAAAAGATTTATGGGGATAGATGGGGGTGACGATTGAACAACAGTATGAATGCCCTTAATATCACTGAACTATACCCTTAAAAATTGTTACAATGGTAAATTTTATGTTGTGTTGGTTTTCAAATTGGGAGGGAAAAAATATAAATAATATAAAGTGCATGGAAGAGTCCATGGCATGTATTAAGTACTCAGTAAATGTTAGTTATCAAAGGAAATAAAAAAAAAATTGGTGGGCTTTGAGTAAAGCAGATTGTGGGTGGGCCTCATCCAATCAGTTGAAAGCCTGGATAGAAAGAAAAGACTGGAGTCCCCTGGGCAAGAGGACCTTGTGCCAGCAGATGGTAGGACCACCTGTTCCCTGGGATCCCAGCCCGCCCGCCTGCCCTGCTGATTTGGGCTCTGCCAGTCACCACGATTGTGTGAGCCAATTCCTTAAAATAAATCTCTCTCTATATATACCTACACCACCTACACCTGTATATATACCTACACCACCTACACCTATATATATACCTACACCACCT